ATAAGCCTACAAGATGTGGTGACGGTCCGCTTTATAAAAAGCCGAATGAGTGTTTGTCATTCAGTGGTTTTGCATTTGTCTAGCGTGCCTGGCCTCCACTGGCAGCAGCGGTTGAAGGAATGGTTTGGAAATGGGCCGTTTGTGTATGGCAGTCGCATTTCATCAGTTGATGCGACTTGTCCCAAACAAGCTGCTTGCACTGTCGAGAAAATGGAACGAAGGTGAGGTGCTGTTTGAGCTCTGAGCAACCCGCGCAGCTGATATTCGCAATTACCCAGAAGTGGAAGAGTTGGAGGACTTAGCTGCTCACAGCTGGCGATGCCATCGCGAAGAAAAAGTCAGCAATGATTGTGGTGCTGTAAATGGCTTGGCACCATCGGAGAATCTCGGTCTCATTGCGACTTTCAAGGAGAATGAGGAAGAAAATTTGGCACAAACATTTGCTTCTTCAGAAAGACTTTGCATTGTATATGCGCTCTTCAATTTCATCGTTCACTGTTGAGATGCTGTTGGAGTAATCCGTGCAGCTGATATTCGCGATTACCCAGAACTGGAAAAGTTGGAACGAGACGATCATGCACATCGAAGTCATCCGTGCCAGGCATACGGAACGCACACGTTGTAGTCTGTAAAATCGCATTGGTGATTTTGAGAGATCGACATGTCAAGTTTGGACTCAGCTGGTCGAAATTGCGTGTTGGACTTAGCTGCTCACAGTTGGCGATGCCATCGCGAAGAAAAAGTCAGCAATGACTGTGGTGCTGTAAATGGCTCGCAAACATCGGAGAATCTCGGTCTCAGTGCGGTTTTCAACGAAAATGAGGAAGAAAATTTGGCACAAACATTTGCTTCTTCTGAAAGACTGCATTGTATATGCGCTCTTCAATTTCATCATTCACTGTTCTGTACTTTCTTTGTCCACTTGTCTGCCGGCTGCAGAAATTTTTGTGGATCTGCCGATCAAATGCGTTACATTCACAGTGCCATGCATGTTCAGACATCATCTGTTATCTTTTTGGCGTTGTTTTGATGTGTTCAACTAACGACTTCTCAGTTTGCAATCACATAAATGCCTCGAATATTCTAGACCGTTTAATTTTCTGAATAAACTGCTGTAACACACTGTTACTCGTTGCACATCACATTTATTACTTCCGCGTGTAATCCTCACTTTAACAGGTGCGCGGACCCTAAGTCTAAGCAGCAACTTTTAGACCTTTAAGCTTGATTCGCGTGAATGTCTCCGTTC